TCTTCTATATATCATATTTATCAGTCCGAGCAGCGTTTATTTATTTATTTATTTATTTATTTATTTAGCTTTGCATAGAACTAATTTGCATATTCGAATATGTTCGAACTACAAGACGCTGGCGGTTAACAAAGTTATGCGAAAGTCACTTCGTTACTTTAATCACTTTAATAAGACGTTTCACGCCCTAACTCCGAATAAAATGTGCAGTTAATTAGATTAAAATATACATGACTTGCGTTAGAAAAGTGCCATCCTTTTCTACATGCCAAAGCGTTAGTTTCTACTATAAATGACTAACTTTATTAACTTACTAGAACCTGTGTGTTCTATGCCTGTTAGACGCGCAAAATCGAACCCGTTCAAGCCAGAAATAGTATTGAAATATTCACCAGAATACAAGATAAACGGAAATGTTATGAAACTCCTTTCAGTGAAATTAGTTTTTAATGTTTCTTTCCCAACTATATACGTTAACAGAAAGTTTTTTCTCCCCAGTTTTAGTGTATCACGTGCGCCATTTCACTACAGTAACATTACCTTGCAAAACATAGTCCGCGATAAAATGGTTCGTATTTACGTTTTTACTAAAGTCTGACATTAATAAATAGTTCGGATGTCACATACGTTTGTTCCCACTTTTTGTAGTTCGGTTTCAAATGAAACAACCGCGGAAAAATGGCCGTGCGTAGTGAGGTGATTGACCACAAAATTGAGGGCTGCCTGTGGGAGAGGCACTATTCGCTGGTTCCCGGCGTCCTTTGCGAATGGCAGGTAGGACGCAGGTAACTAGTAATCGCCATATTGTTCCATTTGGGCCGGTTTTCCGGCCGGAAGGCACGTGACTGAGTAACGTAATTTGAAAACATTCCAAGTTCCGTTCTGCGTAAACGTGTCTGTAATACTACAATAAAGCCATGCTCATACATACTGCCTGCTTAGATTTACAGATTTGATATGTTCTATGCAAATTTATAACAAAAGAAACAGTTTTTTTTTATTTGCCCAACTTTCGAAAGTAAAAGGAAACCCCTGAACGGCCGCGAGCGTAAGCGCTGACGTCAGGTAACTAAGGGAAATGGAACAAGCAACGAGAAAGTGGTGTACCAATCAGAATGCCGGAACCGTTACTAGTTACCGGCCTCTTGTGGCTTGGTACGCCATGACACTTGAGGCGGGAACCAGCCAAGAGGCACTATTGCGTAAAGCGCAAAGGCCTATGGGAAGGAGATTGGTATTTCTATGGGCTCCATGCGCGCTCCTGTGGAACGTCGGTCGAGCCGGTGAAAATTCTAGAAAACAACACAAACTCAATTTTGAAGTAATCCTAAACAACCTAATTTACATATGTTACACACGTAGGGCTAATCTTGTTACATTGTTCAGGGGAGTCTCAACAACCATCCTAAAGTACCATTATCTGCGAGTTTTTGGCCTTTGTTTTCACCGCAAGGGTTGCCAAGCGGTGAAAATGCCCGGATGTCCGCCCCCGAGGATGCGTCTATTTCTCCGAGGGGTTGTGGGGTACCAACAATACATGCTATTTCCGCAGGTCGAGGGAAATAGCAGGTATTGTTGATATCCCACAGCCCAGAGGGGAAAATAGACGTATACTAGTGCCCGAATTAGGCCATGCAATATGTGTTTTATAACACATTACATCTACATACTGTACCATTAATAGTAAACAAAAGTCTTCTTCTCGACGTCTGCTAGCGGTGTCCCGATTTCTTCACAAAACGATGTAAAGGCGCTTCTAGAAAACCTGATTGCGTCGTCTTCGGTGCATCTTTATTTTCTACTAGTGTACCAAGTTCTTCTTCTGAACTGAAGCTAAATCGTCCAGTCTTTCGAGGCGGACCATCGATATCAGCGACGGAACTAGCAGACGACATATTGGAAATCACACGATCAGGTGACGAGTGACGTCATCCCCGGGCACTAGTTGATGTACTAGTCTCCCTAGGGAACTAGTAATTTCCTTGGCGCTACTATGGTACTTTAGTCGACAACACGTGATCCTGTTTTGACCAATTACAGTACAGTATTAACGAGTGATGTGTTATAAAAAATATATGATTAGAATGTTCACGTGACTTCAGTGGTTTTTATTCTAACAGGACCATCTACGCGTTGTAAATTGACATAAATGCTAACTGATTTGAATAATTAGCATTAAATATCATATCATAGCGACTCCACAATAATTACATGTGTGATTTATTCACTTGCAGTGTCACCAGGAAGTAGAGGAAAACTTTGACATGATTATTGAGATGCTTGAATCAACCATACTCAAACCAGACACTCTGTGTACTAGTATTGGTTTTTGCCAGACAACCACTGTCGAAGATATCATGAACGAATATGCTGTGTATTAATGTTGACATTAATGTACTGCCCTCAACCCGAATTACATGTTTAAGACTCGTTCCTTGTTTCGGGGTTTTTGTACAACAACATTCACCCATTGAGAACGATTGTAACGCAAAGTCCCATAAGCCAGGTACGAGCCCATTTTAAGCTTTGTTAAAATGTGATTAATAATGTCAACATACAATAACTTTGTTCTCGCATAAGTGTAATATTTGAAGTGCAATAAACGAACATAAAATAGCAACACAACTGTCTTCAGTGTTTAGTAGATAGCTGTGACATGTATTTTGGGGAATGTTTAACTAATTTTGTTCGATATTGTATCTTTGTGAAAACAATAGGGTTAGAATTATCGTAAAAATGTACCACTGCCAAAAGTTGGAAAAACACAGAAATGAACATCAATAATGTGTCCGAATTTCACCGAATTACATCATAGCCCTGTGAATGTTTTTCCGGGTCTTCTTGACGTTGGTTGTTATGGTGAAGATATCACAAATGTGTGTGTTGATTTATGGTGCCAAATTAGTCTCGTGACCAATTGTGTTTCACGTTTCCACACAAAATTCCTTGCGTATTACGGTAAAAACTGTTTACCTATTGGTAAAACGATAAGTAGAGAACAACCGTGCATATTACGGTAAAATGTGGTTACCTATTGGTAAATTACCATGCGTATTACGGTAAAAACTGGTTACCTGCTGGTAAAATACCGTGCGTACTACGGTGAAAACTGGTTACCTATTGGTAAAACGATAAGTAGAGAACAACCGTGCATATTACGGTAAAAACTGGTTACCTATTGGTAAATTACCATGCGTATTACGGTAAAAAATGGTTACCTGCTGGTAAAATACCGTGCGTACTACGGTGAAAACTGGTTACCCATTTGTAAAACGATAAGTAGAGAACAACCGTGCATATTACGGTAAAAACTGGTTACCTGCTGGTAAAATACCGTGCGTACTACGGTGAAAACTGGTTACTATTGGTAAAACGATAAGTAGAGAACAACCGTGCATATTACGGTAAAAACTGGTTACCTATTGGTAAATTACCATGCGTATTGCGGTAAAAACTGGTTACCTGCTGGTAAAATACCGTGCGTACTACGGTGAAAACTGGTTACCTATTGGTAAAACGATAAGTAGAGAACAACCGTGCATATTACGGTAAAAATTGGTTACCTATTGGTAAATTACCATGCATATTACGGTAAAAACTGGTTACCTGCTGGTAAAATACCGTGCGTACTACGTTGAAAACTGGTTACCTATTGGTAAAACGATAAGTAGAGAACAACCGTGCATATTACGGTAAAAAAAACTGGACACCTATTGGTAAATCACCATGCGTATTACGGTAAAAACTGGTTACCTGCTGGTAATATACCGTGTGTATTACGGTGAAACTGGATACCTATTGGTAAATTACCATGCGTATTACGGTAAAAACTGGTTACCTTCTGGTAATATACCGTGTGTATTACGGTAAAAACTGGATACCTATTGGTAAAATGGTGGGTAGAGAACAACCCTGCGTATTAAGGTACAAAACTGCTTACCTTTTAGTGAAATACCCTGCGTATTACGGTAAAAACTGGTTACCTGCTGGTAAAACACCGTGTGTATTACGGTAAGAACTGGATACCTATTGGTAAAATGGTGGGTGGAGATCAACCCTGCATATTACGGTAAAAACTGGTTACCTATTGGTAAAATACCCTGCGTATTACGGTAAAAACTGGTTGCCTATTGGTAAAATACCCTGCGTATTACGGTAAAAAACTGGTTACCTATTGGTGAAATATCGTGCGTATTACGGTAAAAACTGGTTACCTGCTGGTAAAATACCGTGTGTATTACGGTGAAAACTGGTTACCTATTGGTAAAATGGTAGGTAGAG